CGATTAATTAGAAAAACAGTTGTAAGAATAGCCATGTGCCAATAGAATTTAAGCACATGCATACCACTCAGAAGACATCGGACCATAGATATAAAATGACAGTTTTTGCGTTCAGCCACGCCATTTTGCTCAGTAGTGTAGGGGCAAGTGAGTTAATGTAAAATCCCCTTTTTATTAAGTTCAGTCCGGAATTCATTCGAAACATATTCTCGTCCATTATTAGAACAAATATTACGGACAACAATGTTATACTGGGTTTTGATCATTTGAAGAAATTGGGTAAATAAAAGAAATACATCAGATTTCTTTTTCAATAAATAAATCCAAGTACAACGAAAATAATCATCAATAAATGTCACATAATATCGATGTCCAGAGAAAGCAGTAACTGGGGAAGGGCCCCAGACATCAGAATGAATAAGATCAAACATATTAGGAGCACGACTCATAGAAGAAATATTGCTAGTTCTAGTATGTTTAGAAAGCTCACAAACTTCACATTGAAACTTATGGTCCCTACATGTTTTATTTAACGAAGGAAATAATTGACATAGATACTGAAAGTTTACATGCCCCAAACGTGCAAACCACAGACTAAAGGTGCGAAAAGAAACATTATAAACACTAGAAGTAGGTAGGACAGAAGCTTGAAGACTTGTTCCTGGTGGTTCCCCAAAGTAGTAAAGCCCATCACACTTATAACCCCTGCCAAAAATCCTCTTCGAACAAAGGTCCTACAACAAACAGTGATCTGGTAAGAATATAACTGCACATTGGAGGTTTTTTGCAAGCCGGCTAATAGATAAAAGGTTAAAGGCAAGTTTAGGTACGTGAAGGACAGATGAAAGAGTAATATCAGGAGATAGACAAACATCACCCTTACTGTGAATGTAAGATGTAGAGCCATCCGTAAGATACACAAATTGGGTAACAGGTATGACATTAGAAGAAAAAACTGATAACTCACCAGTCATGAAATACAGTAAGAGTACCTGTAGCAATATACAGTAAGAGTACAGTCGTTGTAGTATAGTGGTAAGTATTCCCGCCTGTCACGCGGGTGACCCGGGTTCGATCCCCGACAACGGCGCCAAAATCTGACGACGGCCGTTCCAATACGCCAAACTGAATGTAGTGAATGTGTGGTTCAAGAAAAGCCTTTTATGTCAAATTTAAATTTATAAAAACCACTACCAACACCACTACTAATGTAGTAAGAGTGAGTAGGGATCGTCCCAAGGGATTATACGTGTTGGAATTTCAACTTCGACTCTAGCGTACCAAATGATTGCAAAAGAGAGTTGGGTTGGTTGATTACTTCTAGAAAAGAATTAATTAAAATGCAATAAAAATAAAACTAAGTAGAGATAGGGATTTAAGAGATGAGAAGAGAGGACTTAGGGTGTTGGAATCACCACTAAGCTCATGTAATTAACCACTTGCTTTCCATTAATGGGGAATACATTGTTGTGAACAAAATTGGTTCGACTAGCAAAGGTGACTCAACAAGTGTATAATGTCTAAACAACATGTGAAAGGCCACAATATATCTATTGGAAGAGGAATATATTATCTAGACAACATGTGAAGAGAACAAAATATCAAATCAAGTCATTAAACATTTCATTAGCTCATAGTCCAAATAATTCACAAGGATGACTTAGTTAAACATGTATTGTCTAAACATCATGTGAGAGGCCACAATATATCTATTGGAAGAGGAATAAATTGTCTAAACACATGTGAAAGATACAACATATCATAACTAGTCATTAATCCTTCATTAAGCTCAAAATTCCATTACACCACAATATTAGAGCATATGCTTCTTGCATTCAAAAACATGGAACATCAAAGAACAAGCATGAATTGTCTCCCCCATCTAACACTACACTACAACTACACTACTAGCATGAAAATAAACTAAGGGAGAGGTACAATCCATCAAGGAATAAGTATGAACCATCAAAAGACATAACAAGAGCATTCCATTAAGCACTAATGTCTAGCCATCACTAGATTCTCAATTAACCACACATAGACATGCAATTAATATAGAAAAACTAGTGTAGAGATCAATTCCCAAAATAATCACACATAAGACAACATGTAATTAAAATAGAGAATCAATGGAAGAATTAACCCATATGAATCATGTGAGACATAATTCCTAATTTAATCACACATAGACATGTAAATAAACTAGAGAATTAATAGGAAGAATTAGACCATGGAAATCATAGAAATATACCAAGATTCATGAAATTCACAAGGCTAGAATACTAATCACAACAATATATATATAAATCCCCAAAAATAGAAATACAAGGGTTTAGATTACACAAGACTTAGGGCTCATCCAAGCCCTAAGTGTAGATCTAGTCAATCATGGAGGAGGTGGATGTAGTCATGGAATCAAGCTCCAAACATGGCTCCATCTTCTTCTTCCTCTTCTTCTTCTTCTTCTTTGAAGCTCTAGAGATGGAGAGATAGTGGATTTAGAGATGTGTTCTTGAGATGTGCCTCCACTTCTCTCTTTTCTTCTAACCCTAATCTCTAACTTTTCTAGAGAGAAATAAAAATTACAATGTAGAAAATAAAATGATAAAAGCTAAAAATCCTCTTTTACAAATGGGTTGCTTCCCTTTATATAGAAGGTCCTTTTCTTAGTCACTAAGTCTAGAATATATGCCCAAAAATATCTAATCCCACAACTTTTTGGTAGGTGAACTTTTGGGCGCGCACGGAAAAAGTGACAGCTTGCTGCCAGCATGTCCAGTTCGATCGATCGAACTTATTTTTCGATCGATCCAACTTGTCTGATCGATCCAACTAAAAGTTCGATCGATCCAACTAAAAGTTCGATCGCTCCAACTTTTCAGCTTTTCAATATCAGCTTCTTTTTGCTCCAAATCAGCCTCTTTTTGCTCCGGATCATCGCTAAGACTTAGTTTGACTCCAAAAAGGCCTTAAGAACTCATTTTTAGCCCATTTTAACATTATTGACCTGAAATAGACAAAAACACAAATAAGTACTAAAACGGGTAAATAAGATAGATAAAGGTCCTAGAATACTCAAACTTAAGGGGTTTAAATGTGTACTTTTCAGCGCTTATCAGTGGTAGTGGGAGCAGCTGAAGGAGCTCCAACTCTAGAAGCAAGGGAGCCAAGCTGGTCCTGGATATGCCCAATCTGAGACTGAAGCTGGCTCAGTCCAGGAAATACAATAGATCCACCAGTAGTAACAGGAGTTTCTGCAACAGCCACAGTATGAGAAGAACCAGTTCCTAGAAAATATTTGCTTCAGTTCAAGATGAAGTTTGAAGCAACGAGCCTTAACATGTCCAACCCTTCCACAATGGTGAAAAATAATCTGACCTCCAGAAGCTAGTGATCCAAAGTTGATTGCAAAAGCTATACTATCCCCAGTAGGCTCAGACACTGGTAGAGGAACAAGTGAGGGCTGAATTAAATGGTGCTTGCATGCTTCACCATCAACAGTAACAAAGGCTTCCAACAGGGATGGCATTGGTGATGCATTCAAGATCTGAGACTTTAGTGGTTCAAATTCTGGGTGTAATCCCATAAAAAACTGATAGGTATGCTGACAATCAAGACGTTTGACAAGAAGAGAGGCTGCCTCGGAAGGAAATTCACTGAGAGGCTTATATTGAGCTAGTTCCCCCCAGCGAGATCTCAAATACCCAAAATAATCAGCTACAGACAAATTCAGGCCTTCTTGCGAGGCCTTAGCAATATCTTGGTATAATTCAAAAATACGAGTATCATTCCTAGAAGGAGCATACATTTGATTTAAAACAGTCTACAAGTCATTAACAGAGTCATAAAACATGAATATATTATAAATGCATTCCTCCATAGAATTAAACATCCATCCTAAAATGGTGCAATTGTCTATATCCCACTGAGCATATTTAGGATCTTTAATATCTGGTATCTTTTTAGTACCCAAAATCCACCCTGATTTGCCTTTTCCACCAATATAGAGGCGGAGGGAATGAGCCCAGGATGCAAAATTACGGCCATTCAACAACACACCAGTAACTCGTTGAGCCGGTGTGTGTTGCGCCGAAAAGAGAGTTTCTTTATTATTACTTGATTCAGCCATAATATAAAATAGAACAATTCAACAGATTACCAATAATTTCAAATAAAGGAGGAATAAACTTGATTTTGATCAAACCAAAAAGCCGGAGACACGGCGGTCTGATCTGAAAGTGCTGCCGAATATCCCGGTAGCCCCAAAAAATTACAAACACGTCTTCTGACCCTTAGTGCATGAAAAAGACTAAGGGAATACCCCTACAGGGGTCGAACCTAGAGGAGATTAGCTCTCCCTAGGACTGTCGCAACAGTGGCCTAAAAAAGAGAGAGGGTCTGTGAAGAAAAGGAAAAAAAGAAATAAGGAAGGGGCTGTGACGAGATAGAGAAAGAGATTAAAAGAGGCGGTGAAAGAGAGAGAGAGGGGGGAGGCGTAGGTTTGAGGCTCTGATACCAAAAAGTAATTTGGTAAAATTGGCGTATTCAATTTGAGAGCCTGACTATCATTATATACAAGAGGAAAATTACAAATATGGAAAGAGAATAAAATAAAATCAGAATAAAGAGAATAAAATCAAATCAGAATAAAAATAAAATTCCTAAATATTATCCTATATTGAAGACCCAATAAATCTGCCACAATCATTGAGTCAACTTATGAATATGATTTCCAACAGCTTGAATGACAGCAAGGAAAGCTGACCAGTCTTAATCGTCTCAAATAACACAAGAACCACAAAATTTAGAGGATGCATTGTGTGTGTGTGCGCGTGTGAAAAGCGACATACAGCAGCAAATATATCTGCTGCCATAAGTTCAACATATGGCAGCACTCATCACTGCTGCCTAAAGTTTGGCGATATGTAGCATTCTGCCTGAAACACAATAGCTCTCCTGCTCACCTGAAACATACTTTTGTATTTATTTAGCACTCCACATGGAATAATTTATATCAAAATAATCAAACAAGCTTTAAATTTACAGAATATCAGTATCATATGATACAAAATAAATTACAGAAGAGAGAGATTAAGAGATCTAATAATTTATATGACATATAAATGAGTTCCTTCAACATACTAACTTTTCTTCCAAACTGCTAGAACAATTTACTTTGACCTCATGTGTTTCTTGCATCCTCTTGCTTCTCATAACCCACCTTTTCTTTCAAGCTCCGACATAACTTTTGCTCTAGATCGATGCTCCTGCTTCTTCTTCACTTATCTGACATATTGCTCCAACTCCAAAGTAGTTCCGAACAAAGCTTCAAACTTTGGGTTTGAATCTGGCTATACTTGCTTTGAGCACCTCCATTTCTTCCCATCCATTCATCTGCACCTCCAGGGCTCTGGGTCTGCTTTCTTGCCAAAACCTATCTGAAAACATCCCCACCCACCCAACTGCAAAAACAAAACATTAACTTGCTTTCAGACTGCTCTTTTCTCAGTATTTAAGTTGCTTGTCTTTCGAGCGATGTTGCCCTTGGGTATCGTAGTGTGTTAATACTTTCACTCGTAACTATCCCTCAATGCTTAGTTTTATGCACTTAAATCTCATGGTTTGACGGAGTTAAAGAATTGTTGGAAATGATGGGAAGTTAATTGCAGAGTTGTTTCGTTGCTATAGAACTTCACATGTTGAGATATATAGAGTGAGGTACCTGAATGATATTAGAGACCAAATCAGTCCCAAAAAGCTTGAGTAGGTGTTGGGATTTCTTACGAGCTTCCTCCAAACCATGACAAGAATGAGCCTTGTCATGCAGTTGGCATCTGTTGCTTCTTTTCTGCATCTCCTTCCATGTCCACCTTCTTCTGGCTTGTAAAGGGAGAACCCTTTCCCGAAAATTTGGAACCATCCTCCATTTCGATATCCCTATCTCCATTGATTGTCCCAGCAGAACTTGCATTTTCCATCAAATCATGCATGCCTATATATCAAGATTAATAACATGCAATAATAAACAAAAGGTAGGAACTAAAAAATAAGGACTACTTTCATTTTCTAATAATCAATATTTTTGCTGATCAAGAAAATATGACATTTCATTTCCTCGAACTTGGTTAGGAGTGGAAACTTGGAGAAAGTATTAGTGCAAATTCCCTTTGCTAAATGGTATTACATACCATATCATGAATCTGATAAATAAAGTAAAGAAATTCAAGCAGTAAGACAGTAACTTTTTGTGGATTCTGCTCTCAAGCTACAAAAGCAACAATTAAAACAAGGTCAATGAGCGTTGACTTGCTGTCTTTAGAGTTGAACTAACAAATAGAATATGGAGTATATAGAAGCATGAGATCTCCTGTTAATTGCAAAAGAGAGGTGCTTAAGTGCTTGAGCTCTAGCAAATTAAATGCAACGCAACTTTTTAGCTTGACAAGCCAAGAAAAGAACAACCATCTCATTAAATATAGCTTTTCTTTTTTCATTTTTAGCATCAAAATTCAAAATATGGTTCAAACAATATGATTTAGTTAAATTGTACCCAGAATCTCCTAGTATATATGAAGACATTAGACCTTATTACACTGTGTTTTTTTCCCATAGAAGCGGAAATTGAAGCATTGGTCCTTCCCAGCTCTCATACCAGAATTGAGGACTTGTTGGGTATATGTAACTATTATTGAAATATATCTAAAATTGAGTTGAATATATAACTATTAAAATAAATAATATTCGAGCATACCAAATACCAAATTTTCTGCACATTAGCAGTTGATAAGGCAAGTAAAATACCTCTGACAAATTTTTTGGCTTTAAGATGAGCGTTAGGAACTGTCTCTTCACTCTTTGCTTGTTTCCTGGACCATAAATCAAACAAAACTTATGGAAATATATTTTTTTTCCTAGTTGGTACTCACACACACGTGTCTCTTTTGAGACTTGAACCCTGACCTCCCTTTAAGAGATAAGAGGCTGATACCGCTAGCCCACTGGCCCGTTGGTAACTTATGGAAATATTTCCAAATTGTTTTAGAAAATAATTTGAAGCTTCAAAATTCCTGCTATCAAGAATCTCGCGGAAATTGATTTGAGAAGATGTAAAAAATATGTAAGTAGCCATACACAAAAAGTCCTCCACATGAAATCATCTAGGATTTAGAGAGTGATAATATTCCTTATGGAATTGTTACCGTGTTACAGACAGAAATTAGGCAGTAAGCATACTAGTAACCATTTATACTTATTTGATTCAGAACTACACGAAATCTATGAAAACAATCATGCATCTTTAGGAACTTAAACTTTTCTCTACCTCATGGTAACTGATTTCAGTAGTAAATTGCCATTAACATGAGGAATCAACCCCTATACAAAAAAAATATTTTATTTATTATGGACTACTAATTCTGGATCCAAACAATTTTAAGAAAGAAAACAAATCTTACGGAAATATTTCGATTCCTTTCAAGCTTTGAAGCTTGTTTTGTAATAGATGACCTCAAACCCTAAGTAATCAATCAATTCACCATTCTATTGAAAGGAAGTTAGATTACCTCGAGCAAAGATTGTCTCTCTAAGTTCGTAGATAGATTGAATGCCTGAAATTGAGACTTGACGGAAAAATGGTGTCTCGAAGTTCAATAGACTATGAGGTTTATCTTTTATACTTTTGACATGCATGTGTGAAATCGAAACTTCAGTCGCGAAATTGAGCCCAAACATCCATAGAAATTATGAAACGATGTCTCCATTCACTTCAAACTGAGCTTTAGTCTCGAAATCATCACGAAGTGGAAGAGTTCTAGAGAAAGGTGAAATGGTGTGGAGGAGGGAGAGGGAGAGAGAGAGAGAGAGAGAAGCTCTCTCTTGTGTGGTAAGATGTGAATTTTGTGCAGTGAACAGAGAAGCTCAGTGCTTTTTCTTGTGTGGTGAGACGATGAATTTTGTGTAGAGAGAGAGAGTTCAGTGTGTTTGAACAATAAGTTTAGTACGTGATAATAAAATTCCATTTCGATGAAAACATGAAAAATGATTAAGAATGTGCATGTGATGAGAACAACATGATTGTTGTTACCTCCAGCTTTTCCACAATGTGTCCCTGGAAGCACTGAAACCAAACATCCACAGCACATACAACCATGCTCCTAATCAATAATATAATGTAGGGATAAACACCAAAACAATGTTAGATCCAACAGCCTAAATACTAGTATTCAATATAGTTCTGCAATGATAATTGATAACTGACATGCATGGATGTTTCATCAATTACCTGAAAAAGAAACAGAGAGAGAAGTCACAATTAACAAACAGTTAAGACAACATAGATAAGCAGAAAATATATAATTACCATGCCAGCAGGGTGCATGTTAAACACTAGAATCAGACATCCTGCAATTTTGCTCTCAACGCTTAACTCTTCTGATGTTCGAAAGGCCGGTTAAATTTCCTAGTGACTTGCATCCAGAAATGTCCAAGAATTTTATGAATTTCAGTTCCTCAAGTCCCCAAATCTCACTAATTTTCTCACACTTACATAGTAGCAATTCCTGTAAATTATTCAGTCTCGACAGATCAGGTATCCTCTCCAAGGCTATGCACGATGACAAGTCCAGCTTCTTCAAGGATTTTAAATCCTCAAGACCCTCTATATCATGTAGCTTCTGGCACTGGGCAAGATTTAATTTTTCCAGCATTTCCAAGTTTGATAGATCAGGCAATCTTTCCAAGGATATGCACGATGACAAGTCCAGCATTTTCAGGGATTTCAAAGCCTCAAGACTCTCAATCTCATGTAGCTTCTGGCACTGGTCGAGCTTTAATTCTTCAAGCATTTCCAAGTTTGATAGATCAGGCAATCTTTCCAAGGCTATGCACGATGACAAATCCAGCATCTTCAAAGATTTCAAAGACTCAAGACCACAACAATAATTTTCCAGCATTTCCGAGTTCGACATGCACCCACTGATATTCAAATTTTCCAAGGATTCCAATCTGTCAAGGCCCCTAATTCCTTTCAGATTCTTGCATTCCTTGGTATCTAATTTCCTTAACTTCTTTAAGTTCGAAAGAGCTGGCAATGTTTCTAGTGATTCGCACCATTTTGTGGTCAAGTATCTCAAGGATCTTAGCTGTTCAAGCCCTTCAAGCATACATAACTTTTTGCACCCAGATACATCCAAAAATATTAGTAGTTCTAATCTTCCAAGGCCTTGAATCTCCGTTAACTCTAAGCAATAAAGCCTTAGTTCGAATAAATTCATCAAATTTGACAGATCTGGCAACCTCTTCATTGATTCACCAGATTGAATATCGAGCATGATTAGACTTGAAGGAAGAGTTGGAAGGCATTGAAGTTGTTTACAATTGTCGACATTGAGTTCCTTAAGCTGAGAAAGAGCACCAAGCTCCATTGGCAGGATGCTAATGCTAATATTGGACAAGGTCAAGGTCTCCAGTTTGGCTAACTTCCCAATACCTTCTGGAATTTTCAACAGCTTAGAGCATAAACAAAGGTGCAACTCCTTTAGGTTCATCAAGCTAGGAAGGTTTAGAAATGTCTCCATTGACATGCAACTGACTCGTAGCCTCACTAGACTAGATGGAAGCTCTGGCGGAAACTGAATCTCTCTGCAACCTGTTAAATCAAGGGTTTGGAGGTGAGAAAGCCTACAAATGCTTGTCGGTATGACAGATATATTTGTCCAATCTAGTCTTAAGATTCTGAGAGAGGATAGTTTCTCAATATTACTGGGAATTTCGCCTTTCAATCTGTAACAACTCGAGGCATGTAACTCTTCAAGTTTCAGTAACTTTCCGATGACACTAGGTAACTTCTCTATTGAAGAACCATTAATATCAAGAATTCTCAAATGTTTTAAGTTGCCAATGGTATCAGGTAATTCTGTAAATTTTGCTCCTGACAAGCGCAGCTCAATTAATGATTCTAATTTCCCAATAGAGTCTGGGAGTTCTTTTAATTCGCAGCGCCTTAGTGACAAGCATCGCAATTTCACTAGCGAACCAATTGAGTCTGGTAGTTCAGTGATGAATGAATAATCTAATGTAAGGTTCAATAGAGATTTTAGGTAACCGATTGAGGTAGAAATTTGAGTCAATGACTCGCACCAAGTGGCACTAAGAGTTTCAAGCTTCTTCATAACACCTCTACCAATACGGACTTCATGTATAGAAGTACCATCAATGAGAAGCTCCATCAAAGCTTCCATGGAATCAAATTCCAGAGGCAGTCCGTTGAGTTTAGCACAATTCTTCACATTGAAGTAAACTAGACTCTTGAGATACCCAATTGATGGGTCAATATGAGCCAACCTCTTACAGTCTTCAAGAATCAATCTTTCCAAAGTTGTATATGCAGAGAAGTCAGGAGTTCTAACCATGTAATTGCAACCTGTGAGATTTAGAACTTTCAACTTTTTTGCGATCTGCGAAATAAGGGAAAAGAGAATTGCTTAGAATCAATTACAAAGAATCATGTGGTGAGACCGTGAGACACATGAAACAAAAGCAGAGAAATTGATGAAACCTTGATATGATTCCAACCCTCCCAGGCTTCCGTGACCTTGCTCCGTGATAAATCAAGAATGACTAGATTCTTTAGATGAAAATTGGTTGGTCTAAAAATTTGAGGGCATCCATTCCAGCGAAGCCATCTTAACTTTGAAAGAAGACCCTTAAAATTTCCATCCAGGTTTGCACAGCCAACTTGAAGGAACCTAAGATTAGATAGGTCTGCAAATTCTTCATTTGTAAAACAGCATGCCTGTGACTCTAATCGAAAGTCAACACAAAGAGCATCAATCTTTCTCGTTCCCTGCCAAAAGAGAACCTTTAGATAAGTAAAAAAGTATATCAAGGATATAATTATGGTGGACACAAAAACAAGTGTTAATGATGATATTCACCCTGAGGACATTCCAGTTATTATTTCAACTTCTGAGTAGATTATACATAATTGTGTTAGAAAGGTGACAAAAAAATTAATGCTTAATAAGGGACATCTATTCATGTAGGAGTTGGATCTTACTGTATGACTCTCCAATATCTCGAAGGCTTCCTTATGCAACCACACCCTACTACGCTTCCCCAGCTCCTTGAAATTTTCTTGACGGACAATATCCCTACCAAGGTCTCTAAGCTGATCATGCATCCTTAGCTCATTGTTATCTCCAATTTTCACCAATGACATGCGAAGAAGAACTCCAATTTCTCTTTCCGGATAAAACTGGCAGTCTTCCCACATGTGGAAAACAATTCTTCTATCCACTCCAATGAAAAGACATGCAATATCAAGAAATATCTGTTTTTGTTCATATTCTAATGCATCGTAACTTATTCTCAGCTTCTCCTGCACTTGGCCATTCGGTGTTCTTTTCAACTTCTTTAATGCATCTTTCCATTCCTTTTTTTCCATGCCAGATAAAAAAGAACCAATAATCTCAAGAGCCAAAGGCAACCCTCCACTAGTGGACACAATGTCTCTAGAGAGAGTATCATAGTCTTCTGGGGGATGGTCCCTTCTAAAAGCATGCCTGCTGAAAAGTTGAAGAGATTGAGTAGAATCCAGTTCCTTTGGTTCATAAGTCCAATTAACCTGAGTCGGATCTAGAATCTGTTTGTTTCTAGTTGTGACAATTATCCTACTTCCGGAACCAAACCAATCACACTTTCCCACAAGTGCATCAAGATGAATTCTTTGATCGACATCATCAACGACAACAAGAACTTTCTTCCCAGAAATTCTGTCTTTGATTACTTTAATACCTTCATCCCTAGTACTAATGTCAGGGCATCTCCGTTTTAAGATGTTAGATACAAGTTGGTTTTGCAAATTAACAAAACCATTGTGGTGTTGTGCTGTTTCTCTAACATCTGCAAGGAAGCAACAGAATTCAAAATGTTGGGAGAGTTGGTTGTAGATGACCCTGGCTATAGTGGTCTTGCCAATTCCTCCCATGCCATGGATTCCCACAATCCTTACATCACTGGAATTAACACTCAACAATTTCATCATTTTTTCTACATGATAATCAATTCCAACTAAGCATTCATTTACAACCAATGAGTTCCTTTTCAACTCTCCCCACACCTCTGAAACAACCCTCTTTATCAGTTCTCCTTGATGCCTGCCAAACAGAATTGATGTCACATATATATGGGGAAAACACCAATATATATGGCCTACTTGATTTAAATTTTCAACAGCAGTTTTATATTCTCAGAAAACTAAAAAATCGGAAGTAGTGTCAAAATCCATTTGATTAAAAATTTGTAAAAACTTTTGTTTGTCAACTAAGTTAAAACTAGTGCCCAATTTCAGAGAACCGAACCAAACAAGCTCGTGGTTGGTTCTAATAAGGAAAATTTACATTTGAGGAAAATAATCATTAAAATTTTCTTTTCTTTCGAAAGTTCAAGCAAACACGCGCGCACACACACACACTCACAATATTGCTCCTAGCAGGGCTCAAATTCTCCACTAATGCCCATTGGTAAATAATAAAAAATGTTGAAATAGCAGAATCAATCTATATAAATAAGTAAATATACACAATTACCCATCAGCAACTTTGTTCACTTCCCATCCCTTCAAATTTCCAACCTCTTTCAATGCGTCCTTCCACTCCTCCACAATAGCACTATCAAAATGCTTCTTGTGCTGCCGGAAGGCCTTTTCGTAACTCCCTGACTGGTGTCGCACATCGGACGGTTCAACGTCATAGAAAATGGGTAATATGATTTGCCCCAAAGTCCTCTTACACTCAACCATCTTGGTGAGCTCAAGCAAGCACCACTTACTTGAAGCATAGTCTTTGGAAAAGACTGGGATGGATATCTTTGAGTGCTGTATTGCCTTGAGAAGCTCAGGACCTATCTTCTCTCCAATTCGAAGCTCATCGTCGTCTCTAAATGTGTGAATTCCCGCCTCCACAAGGTCGCTGTAGAGGTAATCAGTGAAGGTGGTGCGTGTGTCCTTGCCTCTGAAACTCAAGAACACTTCATAGTCCCATCCTGCAGGTGGAGAGGTGGACAATGAAGTGCTCAAATGAGCTAATGAAGTGTTCAAGGGTGCTACTAAAGTGTTCTTGGTCTTCCTCTTAATGAACACAATAAAGGAGAAAAGAATTGCAGCAAGTGTGATGAGACAAGATAGCCATAACCAATTCTCTGTAGACATTTCAGTTCCTGTTAAGTTTCAGTGGGTTAGAAACGAAAATGATGAGAACGCCTAATTATCAGTGGGCATTGAAGAAATGAATTCTTCAATTTCTTAATTTTCACATCCCTTTTGACTTTCTTGATAACCAAACACACATGAAATAATGAGAACCTTATTAGTGGGCATTGAAGAAATGAATTCTTCAATTTCTTAATTTCCACATCTCTTTTGACTTTCTTAATAACAAAACACACATTAACAGATCAAGAAAACAAAGAAAGGAACGGTGTTATTTACCAGAATCCTTCCTCTGAAGTAAGCTTCCTCCACAATCAAACCTCAATTCCTACATATACAAATACAAAATATATTCGTATATCATCAGTATGAGTTATATGTATAGAGAGAGAGTAGAGAGAGAAATTGGAGTAAAAGAACTTACCAGTTAGTTTGGGCTTGAAATGGTGAGAAACAGAAGAAGGTCGATCGTATTTGTTGAAGCAAAGGGAGCTGATGAATCTGGCCCGTCAGATCCACGCCGACTTGAGACGGCAGAATTTGATGCTCCCGATGATACCGATGTCCGAAAACTCTGTCCCCATCCATGGACTTCACTCACAAATCAATAATCATAAGTTTAAGCCCTAATGATTTTGTGCGCACTCAACCAAAAATATGAACTTTTTCCCGCCACTTTTATTTTTATCAATTTCGGATTTAGATTAACTCATGTTTTATTTTTTATTTTTTTCATGGCAAGAGACCAGCACACTTGCTCACTCACACTTTTTACCCTAACTCAACCTCTCCCATCCTATTTGAAAATAGAAAGGTTATACCATTATTGAGCTTTTGTAGCAAAAAAAAAAAAAAAAAAATTGATTGTGGCATACTTCAAACATTGAATGCCTAATGAAAGAGGATTGTGCCAGAATTATACCGGTCAAACTTTTACACTCTATTTTTAAAATTTGAATTATAATTTGGCTCCCCAATCAAAATTTCCTGCCTTGCCGACTTCTTCACTTTCTTTCCCATATTAGGTTTTCAAAAATTAATATCAGCATCTCCGGAGTCAATCTTGATCAATATGTTTGGTTGCCGGTGAAAGAGAGAAGAAAGGTTAGTCTCAACTCTGTAAGTAACATACCTCCCCCAAACTGAGCCTGATCCAATTATTTGCCTTAAAATATAGGTGAGCTTGCTTATTTCTTCTGAAAATAAAGTGACTTGTGAGTTTTAAAACTGTGATTTCTTCGTTTCCTCAGGTTAGTAAATCTGTAAATGACCGTTATCAAATGATGAACTAAGAATAATCTTGAGACACTTATTTTGTTGAACAAAGTTCTACAAATAAGCTGAACTAACTTGGTGCTAATCTGAAATATAGAAGAGATTAATCTGGGTTGTGCCTCAGTAGTTTACAAAGAAGACGAATCCCGAACCATTCTCAATGGTTCAGGCTTAGAAATTAGAAGGGGTTTACAGTTTACACGCCGAAGATGGGAGACAACAGCAATGGGCTCACCTAAAGGAGATCTACATAGAGACAGTCATGGAGAGACTGTTTGCTTATAATTGGACAATGTACCAAATGAGAAGTGCACTTAAACATGGGATGATAAATAACAGTTCCTTGCTTGCACCCTCTGATCGGTCTATTTCTTTAGCTCCTGAGCAGCAGATGCTGATTCCAAATCTTCGGCTGTCACCGGCTGATGCAGCTGCATTTAAAAAATAAATCCGAGTAAGGTGGCAGAAGAACCCAATAATGTATTTCATGGTATGAGATTATGTTTTTCAAGATTATCCACAACTGAGTAATCCTAGAAGCACCTAGAGCTTGGCTCTAGTGACGTTTCCTCTACATTCAAAATGGAAGGTTGAGGTTTCAAGTCCTCATAATTGGCAATTGTTGTGCCCGCAAGTGTGTCTTACCTAATCCAAAAATAAAAAAACTACGGAACTTCGGGATTCTCATACCCTTTGTATACCAGTCATTTGTACGCATGTCATTATGTCAATATAAATCTGAGTTGTCTGAGAAACCAGAACATACATTGCCAAACAAACTTCAATCAAAATGCCAATATTCAACAAACACAGATTTGAAAAAACAAGTTCAAAATGTCTTTTTAAAACACGTCTTTTCGACAAAAGTAGCGGAAACAACTTTGACTTGGTTCCTACCAGGATCAACAACCAAAACACGATGTAAAATCATCTGACATAACTTGCACTATCCATAAACAAGCCCATAAGTCCATTAAGAGCTAAACAGAACTTAAAAAACCAACCACTGTAGACCCAAATAAATACCCCATGAGCATTATTCTATTAGCAAATCTCCAGAACATTTTAGACTTGGCAGAAAAAAATTATTTTTATTATGATGAGTAGGCCGATGTCATTGCTGCAGCTGTTCAGTTGCTTCAAAGTAATATAAAGACAAACAGAACATTAGAATTTAAGGATCCACTGGATGCAACTAAAATAGGGCAAATTGCAAAGAAACTCTCTGGAACTATCAATTTTTTGTAGAAAACCACCCAAACCATGGAATATGAAGAAAAAAAATCCCTGGAAGTTTCACAAAACGTTGCGAATCCCCTTTTGCCGTTTGTCTTCTGTCAATAAAGGAACGGAAATGAAGTCATGTGATGATCACGTGCAGAACAACAAAAAGTGATTCTCATTTTTACCTTCTTATACTGATATACCCTTGAATATCTCATCTTGGTCATCCTTCATCTGCCGTCTCAAACCCAAACCCCTCAATCTCTTCCCCATTTCTAGGAGATCACCATATCATTTGTGAAGGCACCATTCCCTCCTATGCCAGTGGTTTACATTCAGAGGTCTGCAGGTATTGCCAGAATGCTCTTGCTTGACACCGAGTACTCATTCCTATGGCCACCATTGAGGGTTTTTTGGTGGCGAATGCCATCATGGGTTGCAAGGCAATTTATGCTTCTGGTGGAGCACTGATCCGTGAGTGGATAACTGATGGATTTTTGTGAACTATTATTGTTCCAGAATTTGGAACAGTGCAAGTGGTTTCCTTTGATTTCTGATAACACACAAGTTGCTAACTATATGGCCTAATCACGGACATGACCGTGATGAACAAAGGAGGTGAGGGGTATATAAATCACAGCAATACAGACATTATCATATTTTCTCTCTCTGTATGTATGCATATATATAAGTTTTGGGAGTTCTATACTACCAGATAGATGACATAACATGCTCAGGAACCTTGTTGGTTCAGCCATAACTAGAGCTCTTGGTTGCTTCAAAGCCCATGCCTGTAATATTGGTGACTAAGTCCCTCTTCAATGTTTTGGATCTGTGAGATTTTAAAGTGGCCTTAATGCTCATGCCAGTAATATTGTTGTTAAGAGTTGACTACAGTTGTGAGAGTTCCAATATGAGTTTCTGTAATTTTAATTTTTTTGTTTTATATAATGATTATATATTGAAGGGTAAATTAGTCATATACCTACCTTACTAATGTTAGAAAATGGCAATTCCTGATTTGATAATTTTTTTATAGTTTAGGGGTTTTAATGCACTGAGAGGGGGGTATTTGCAAAATCTTAATAGTTCAAGGGTTTTTTTTTTTTGGCAATTTACCCACCAAAATAACTGTTATAGCAACACTGCCTAGATATAAAATTTAATTCATGTCTTTCAAAGGATTAAAGTGCATAAAAATTAAATTCAACTGAGGATGTACCAAGTTTTTCATGTACACAAAGATCAAGCAGAAACTTACTGCTTTTGCAACAGCAAGCCAGTGAAAAGAACGCAAGAAAGCATCATCTTGTGACGGAAGATTATCATGATTCCACAATGTAATGTTTTTAAACTCTGCATTCATCTCCCAACAATTTGAGTTTACTTCAGGTATATCAGAAGCTTTTTTGTTCTCCAAATTCTTCTTCCCTAAGACAAAACCTGGAGAACAATAATTTTAGTTCATTAAAAAGACATAAATATCATCAAAAAATAGAAGGCAAAAAAAAAAAAAAAAAAAAACCCAAGATATTAAAGCTCTTTACATAAAACTTCTGAAGAGAGAAAGTTGCAATTATATAACTAGATTTGTTTACAAGCATAGAAAAAAATATAAGATAAAAGCAGAAGAGAACAAAAAGACTATGATTCACTCCTACATGTCCCTAGTCATCAAACGTAACGAAAGTTACATACTCATTCAGCATTATATAAAAATGAAGAAAACATGATATATGACTCAAGACTCAATTAAATAAGTTCCAAGTGGGTTCTAGATCATTTAACATGTCGGAAGTCAAATGTTAGGCCTTGGAAGCAACTTTCTCATGCCTCTTATACAGTTTAAAAAAGCAATGCCACTTACCTCTATTAACAAACTCTCCATATGATAGCATTATGTAGTAGAGATATCATTGCCTAGATACTTGGTCAAGAATATGCAAAGCTTCTAATTATGCTTTTGGTTTCATATCCTAAGCACTGACTCATGAAATGTACATTCATTTCAAGTACATCTATCAAACAGTCAAATTGATCTAGGAACAATTCTATAAGCATGTAAGCAACCAAAGATAACATAAGATGGATTGATGAAAAGTTGAAAACCTTGCAACTAACAATAATGTCTTGTTATATTCTACACCTTCAGTCCCTTTTTAACGTCCTGGGATAAGTCAAAGTTCGAGTTCTCCACAAATTCATATACCTTCTATATTAGCCTTTTGACAACTATTTCTTGCCAGATACAGTAACAAACAGTAAGTCAACAAGCTTCTATGCTGCATTTCCCAACATGGAGCTCATCTTCTCACAATTATAGCTTCCACAGAAAATCAAAACTATTGCCCAATGTAGTAAATCCACCTCCAGTGAATTTTATTACAATTAGAAATATCTGGGGCTAACAGATCTTCTTTATAGATGAGGTCTGCTTCTCTTAATATTTGCTTTGCAATACAAGGATCCATTTAGGACTACAGAAGTTTAGAAGTGACACCAGATTTCTATGAGTAAAACTCCTTATTCCACAAATTCAACCAAGAGAGAACAAATGAATTCGAAACTCTGTGATTATTAGTGAGTGAGTGAGAACAATATTCAAAGAAGGAGAACGCAAGCTCATATATGGAACCCAGAGAGAATGGTGCTGATTGTTTCAATATTTCCCTCTTTCTACTCTAATAGATGAGTTTGACCATGTAAATCATTCAGCATTGTGGGCGTGCTTGCTTATGCCTTCTGCTTTGTCAATGGCAGAGTTCCTTGAGGAAGACTGTTTCAAAAAAATTCCATCAATCACAATCGGGCACTTGTCTTTCACTCTTTGGCTTTAGCACATTCAGTTACACTTTGCAAATTGTTGGTTGAGCTTTGAAAAGTGTCACAATTTCTGGAGCTAACTTCTTGGGTTGCTTAATCTTCTTAAGCAGATCAAAAGCTACTCTAGGATTCTTGTGTTTATTAACTTGTTTGTATTTAGCAGCTTTTATGGGAATTTAAGAAAACTACATTTTTTTGGCTCTAATTTACGGCATTTTGGTTCAATATGTATAATTGTATCACCATGTGTTTAATCAGGTTATGTTGCAATTGAATTTTGCAGCAGGATTTTAATAATTCTGAGGTCAATTATATATAATAGCAGGCATTTAACGGCATAGAGCCTTGTAGCAAACAAAGTATGATTTTCAACACACACAAACACACATGTACAGATTGAGGAAACAAAGAACGGAATAGCATTAATTACCAGAATAGCCCTGGGGAAGGGAAAAGGTTGTTCCTTGTAACTTCCTCCCTCTGAAGTAAGCTTCCTCCATATTCAGACCCTCAACCTCAATCCCTACATATAAAAATACAAAACATATACATATATACATGAGTGATATATCTTATATATGTGTGTATACATATAGAGAGAAAGAGGGGTAGAGAGAGAGAAAAGGGGTAAAAGAATTTACCAGTTGGTTTGGGCTTGAAGTAGTCAGAAACAGAGGAAGGTCCATCATATTTGATGCAACACGGGAGCTGATGAATCTGCCCCGTCAGATCCACCGTCGACTCGCGACGGCTGAGATCGAGATTTCCGACGGTTCCCATCTCCGAACCTCTATCCCCATCCATGGACTTCACTCCCGATCCACCAATTTTACGATCGCCAAACAGTGTGAGCCCTAGTGATTTTGTGTCTTGGGGGCACCGGAACCCTAAAACTGTCGGACTTTTCCCGCGCTTTTGTTTTATTTAGGATTTCTATTAACAGAACATTTCAAAAAAAAAAAAAAAAAACTAATTTATTCGCTAAAAAATTAGTTTCATTTAAAAACTCTAGCGAGCAAAAATCTTCCCCACTTAAAAAGTGAATTTTTTTTTCTTGAGGTACTAAATACGTTTAGAAGCCTAAAATACATATATATATATATATATATATATGAGCTACTAAATATGTTTAGAATAAAAATTAGTAAATGGTTCGACAGCAATCTCAAACATACTCTAAAATATGATTGGGGTGAGTGCTCTGTTAAGGCGCATTGTCATCAATTAATCTCATTCATTAGTAATGATGAGATCATAAGAAATTACGCATCACGTCATCGCACCCAACATGCCGTGCCCAAGAATCGAACCTGAGACACCAAACAACACTTGTGATGCCCTATTGAGTGAGCCGAACATATCATATGATTTGTATGAAGGCCTTTACTATAGATTTGAAGATTCTAATTCTTCCATTTTCTAAATGATTCTAAAGTGATTTTTTTCTTTTTCCTTCATTTTTTTTTTTTTTTTTTTTTTTTTTTTTTTTTTTTTTTTTTTTCACTCTAAACTGATTGACCATTTAATATGTACACTTTAATTAACGTGAATATTGGATGGTGAGGGTAAAAAGTTTCTCAAAGATTACTAACATGTATAATTATTATTTCTTGCAATTTCTACCCATTCTTCTTAATTTTGGGAGGAAAGTAGATTCTATTCGGATTGAGGAAGTTGGGAAAGAATTAGAAATATATAAGCTCTGTTTGACGGGCATAGAATTAGAGCCTTTGAATTGAAATTTGTAAATTGGAGAAAAGTAACGCAGAATATTAAATTAATTTTTTTTTTTTTTTTTTTCAATTCTACCAGTTCCAGTTCCAACAATTCCATGCCGCCAAACACAGCAATAATTTATTTCATGTTTGGTTTGAAAATAAGGAAACGACCAAAGGAAGGATTTATCAACCTTTAAACAATGTAGTCATAGTAGTTGTTATTGCAAACTCTAATATCACAAATTTGAGTACCATTTGTATGATGGAAATTGGTTTTGCCTTTTTGTACCAATAGACTTCAAGATCTTGAAAAGTAGGATATTGATGCTATGGATAAGTTGTGTCATAATGATTCTGAACCATTGATGTGGTTGGAACATGGGTTGGGCAATTCAATGTGGAGGTTTCTTCATTAGGAACTTAGAAGGAGGGCAGAATGTTGAATTCTTTTAAAAAAGAGTTAATGTTGAGTTAGTGATGCAGGGTCCGAAAGTTAAACCTATTCGAGTGTATTTATATGAATAAAGGATGAAAGTAGGTATAAGAGTCCGAAAGTTGGACACACATTTATATGAATAAAGGATGAAAGTAGGGATAAGAGTCCGAAAGTTGGACACACATTTATATGAATGAATGATGGTATCATTATGATTGATGATATTGTGAGAATGTCGGCCTCACTCAAATAAAATAGTCTGGTAACTCAAAAGTTGGATTATTTATCATTTTTCTTTATGCTTTGTTCTAGGAAGAAAGAAACATGGGTGAAAAGAAAATAAAAAGGAATAAACAAACTTCCTTAGTTCGGTAGAGATTATATAAGAAAAGATAAAATAATAAAATGGACAATTCATCATTCCTCCTTCACAAATTTTCATCCATCCAAATATAAGCTGCAAGATGAGAGCAGATAAGTGAGCCTATTATAGAAGTTTTAAATTACCATATCATGCTTCATAAATACTCAATAAAATCCACAAATAAAGTGAGTTATAGGTTTAGTGAAAAAAACAACTTATAATCTGATCAAAGTAAATTGTCTGTTTCTCTTTTCTCTTCCATACAATCGAACAAAAAGAGGGAACAACATAATCTCTTCTCCAAAAATGTTTCATTCATCCCCTTCTTCTCTCCCTTTCATCTAATTTTTTTCCTTCCTACCGAACGAAACATTAGAAAATGCATTATAAGCAGAAAAATGGTATAATAGTTTGAAGGGATATATAATATGTAATGAAGTAATGTGGGACACCTTGGTCACTAGTGCATGGTAGTTTCATTAGATGAAATAGCTACCTTTGGTAATTTTAGAAGGCACTTGACAGTACTGGGAATTTTAAAACTACCAAATTTGCAATAGATGTATTTTGTATTAGGAATAAAGAAAGAAAGAAAGAAAGCAGAGGCATTATATTTTTAATTTCCAATCTTGTTTAAACATAAGAGAGAGTATGAGAATAATTAACATTTTCCATTTCCTTTCACCTTTCATTCTCTTTTCCTTTTCCAATATCAGCAAGTCAAAAACAACAGTACTCACACATTTTGTATTGGTGGGGTAATAAATACTAATGGAAGCAACAGAAAAAGTCCATTATTCCTGTATCATTGTGGTGTTTAAATTAAAATTACAGAATTTGATACAATGTAACGTCTTAAACAAGCTGCTGCTCCCAAATTTTTGAAAAACACCAAAATCCAATTGCAGACAAAAAATAAGCATTACCATATGAAACATATTACAACTACAACTGTACATAAATATGACAAAAATACTACAAATAAGCAACTCACAAAAGTGATATGATCGTGTCTCTAAAGCTCCTTTTGCAGAGGCCATTTTACTACAAGAAAAGTTCCCTCATCACTCCAACTTGACCCTGCCTTCCTCCAGCTGCTCTTTCCTGGGCTCGGCAGGGAAATATTTTATGCCCACCAGATCACCAACTCGGCTGATGACCTGTCAAAACACAAGTTCAAAGAATCAAAATCCGTTGCAGGAGTTCCAAGGAACTTCAAAAGCATCACACTGTCACTGCTTAATCAGCGTTCAGTGTCCATATTTCAAGTGAGTAATGCCATCATGGGGGTGCTTTCACCTTAAGGTCGCACCCTCAGCCACCGGATTGAGGGCACACCAAGTGTGCTCTCCATCCAAACGCTGAGGCACGAATTCACATGAGAGTGCCCTTAGGATAATTGGGTTCATTTGAGTTAATTAAAAAGCTGTTCACCAACGAGGTAACCGTGATTGATAGCATATTCATTAAACAATAAAAACAAGATCCCCATGCAAGCAGAAAAAGCCAATAAACTGTAATATGGAATATCAGAAATTTCAAATTTGATGGTAAAAGAACTGCGTTATTTCGGACATGGATCCTTATCTGCATCCAGGCCTTGTCATGATTAATATTGTGTCTCTACAAGTAGTTCTAACCAATAACAGGGGAAGTGGGGTGTTATTTCAAATTTGCCAATGGCAAGATAAAAAGATTATCCCGATTTATAAAGTTTAAAACAAAGACCATTCTTCTAGAACGTGATGCATTTCCAGAATAGGGTTATTTCAAAATTAACCTCCCACACCCCACCACCACAAAAGATAGAGAATGAAAGAACTCTCCTTTTCCTTCATTGATATTTAAGAGAGGATCTTAAATGAGGAACTGATACACCTAAAGCTTCAAAAGCAATGGGAAAGCATCCATATGGCTATATCATCTCCATGTGGACCCAAAAATTCAAGTACAGTTTTGACATAACTAGTGCAAAGCCTATGTAAATGCAAATCCATCCCTGAATATATTACCCCCATATTTGCAACAAGTTCATTAGACAGTTGGAGTTCAACTTATGCAGAATATTAGTGCTCATGTCAGGTGCTGAAAAAAGGGCAAATGGAACATGTGTAGTAAAGAAAAAAAAGGTATCCAAATTTTCAGATAGATAATAACCTCCAAGGCTTTAACCAGGTCTTCCCTAGTGTGTGAAGCAGATATACAAATGCGAGCCCTAGCCAACAGTAGAGGGGTGGCAGGAAAAGCAACTGTCACAACAGCCACCTGTAACAGCAATATCTGATGTCAATAGCAAGTCCTAGCTCATAAAAGCAAAATTGAGTTAAAGCAGCAGAAAGAGAACCAAAAAGCATCACTTGGAAGTTGTTAGAGGAAAAGCAACTTCAAGCATTCATCAAAGAATGGACATAAGAGTGGTACAAGAGGAACTAAAGAGAACTTACATTCTGTTTGAGACACTCCCTTGAAAAAGCAGGTATTTTTGCTGGATTGTAGAGCATTATGGGCATTACAGGGGAATCATTATCTCCTAAAACCTCAAAGCCCATCTTCTGCAGTTCTGACCTGAAAAAGTTGCTGTTCTCCCTTATTCTTGCGAGTTTCTGAGCCCCTATATTATACACACAAGAAGTGGCTCAAGACGAGCAAAAAATAAATCAGGGACTCAGGTCATGCACTAAAGCAAACTAATCACAAAAGTTGGAATCAATGGGAAGGGAGTAAAAACCTCAAGGGGATAGCCTAACGGCAAGACTTTCACCTCACATCCTGGAGGCCAGCAGTTCGAATCCCCTTGAGGTCACCCCCAGGGAATAGAATTTTCCGGTAATTGCCCGGTGCATGTGGGAGGGGGACTGCATGTGCCCGGTGGTGGATTATGGGATGCTCTAAGAGGCCCGACACCACCACCATCAAAAAAGGAAAAAAATAAAAGAAAAAGGGAGAAATAATAATAATAAAAAATTTTGAACCTCTGCTAGAACCATCCTCTCCAAGAAGAACCTTGATGGCAGAAATAATCTGTTGAGCAGCTGGAGGTGATATTGATGTGGCATACAGATGAGCTGGACAATTATACCTCAAATATTGAATGAGGTCCTGGGAATGGCAATAAAAAGTTTTAAGTACAACCAGAAAACCAATACAACTCACTATTATCTTCACAATACAATCTCACAGATGACAGATGATGTTGGGGGGGGGGGGGGGGGGGGGGGGGGGGGGGTGGGGTGGTGGTGATGGGGGTAATGAGGTACTATCAATGATGTATCTAATTTGACACAGACAAGCTACTTTCTGCATCAAATAATATGGCACCATGCTACCAGACACCAAGAAAATGTTAATTCAAATGAAATTAATCAAAAGAATGATGCAAAACTTTATATCCAGTATGGTAGAATGATGCCACACGTTTGGAAGGTCTGGTCTGATATTTTAAAAGGCACGATCAGGGTGCAACAACCTGGCATTAGAACTCTTCTTTGACTAATACAATACTACTTGACATGGTATAAATTCTTTTCGTTTAGCTAACAAAGAAACAGCTGGTTTCATTATTATCATTTTTTTTTTAATTTTTTTTTGGTGAAAAGTATACTTACAATGCCTCCACTGAATTCAGCCAAATTCCAGAAAATTTGTTGAAAAATAACAAGCCATTACCTTTCCAATCAAGATAATATTGTCTTTTTTCCTAATTCTTTTTCATTGATAAGAAATTTACGCACCCATTTGTCCCTACTGGGACTTAAACCCTCACCATCCCCTCTGGGAGGCAGAGGAGATACCACAAGGCTACAGCCTTTGATGGCTCTCCATTGACTCACTACTTGCCGTTGTTTGTGTTATACTTCAATCTGATACTTATACCTCAATCTGATACTCGCAACACATAAAACAATGATGATATGTACTTGACAACTGTCCTGTAAATTCCACAGTATTCACCAAGTTCATGAGTAGAACCTGGGAAAGATGCATAAGAAACAAACCTTGGAGCCGGCAATGTAACCACCACATGATCCAAATGATTTTGTAAAAGTTCCCATCATGATATCCACATCAGCAGTATCAACCCCCAAAAGCTCACACACACCTCTTCCTGTTTTCCCAACTGCTCCAATGCTGTGAGCCTCATCCAAATATACATATGCCTGTAACAACAAAAAGAATAAAAAAATAAAAACAACAATCAAGGTCCTAGGCTTAAATGTATGAGAATATAAGCAATATGAAGAACCAGAGGAGAAAAAGAAAGCAACACAATTTTCACCAGAACAATGTAAAATGTGAAATTCCCATAAGTGGTGATGAGAGAGAAAAGGAAAGTCAAAATAACAGCAAAAAGAAAACAAATATACCCAATGTCATATTTGTTTACATTTGCAGCTCAGAATGTCCCAACTATCTTTTTAATCCAACTTTTTTCTTTTAGCAAAGGAAATCAACAAATTTATATAAATTCCAGACCAGACTGCCTGACTCCAATACTGAAACAACTATTGAACATGTTGAACAGCCTATGTGAAAATTTCAGAAACATATAAAACTTCGTGCCAATGCAAGCTAAAGGTTAGCAATCCAAACAATAAAATAAATTTTCGTGAAGTCATGATTCATGGGCATAACACCATCAAAACTTACTTCCAAATTAATTTAAAACTAATAATATGTACATAATGCCCAAAATTTAAATATAAAGTTACCATCCAATAAATGCTCAACCTTGTATTTCTTGCATATTGCAACAATCTCTGGAAGTTTGCAAAGCTCCCCTTCCATGCTGTATATTCCCTCCACAACAACGATTATCTTCTTCCATGGTCTATGTGTCCTGGGTTGTCCCTCGGCAATATGTTCTCTCAAAACTTTCTCCAAGTGGGAAGGAGCTAGAAGAAAGGCGGTTTGAGAATTATGGGCATTGGATCATTCAAATATATGCATATATGTGTGTATATATTTAACTGATTAGTTTTTTTCCAGAACGCAAAGCACCTTACACAAACTTACTGTTATGTTGGAAAACTCGAATGGTAGCTCCTGATCCTCGAGCACCATTGACAATAGAGTTGTGGTTCAAAGAATCGCTGATTATCAAACCTCCCTGATATGATCCAGAATAAGTGAAGCTATTGACATGCAGTGATGAATTTTATGCTACTAGTTATAAGAATCCAATAACTTAAGAATTGTTCTTATTTAAGTGTGTATACCTTTCCAATCAAAACAGGAAGGATGGCAGAATTTGTCACATAGCCCATGCCAAAGACTATAGAAGCTGGCTTTCCAACAAAGTTTGCCACAAGATCCTCCAGTTCAGTATGCAGTGTTGTAGTGCCTGATCCCATATTTGCATTAGTAGATACTTAAAATACATAAATGGGAATATTTTGCAGAATAAAATGCGCACCTCCATCAACACGAGCACTGCAGGTGCTAGGAGTAAACTTCTTTAGAGATTCGATCGCACGAGGTGTGCAGTATTCATCTGCTGCAGCAAATCCTAGGTAATTGTACGATCCCAAGTTAAGGCACTTACTTATCTTTTCAGTCCGTCTGCATAAGATTCAATCACATAATTTTCAAATTCAGCTAGAACTTTGAGAAACTTTAAATCTACAGAATGCATTATGGAGTCTGCAGTGTTGCACAGTAAGGGGGAAAAAAAAAAAAGAAAATAAGAAAGCACACTAGAATTAGAAAAGTTAAATGTTATGAGTAACAAAGCTTTATAAACTTGTAAAACGTCTCAGTATACTGACTTTAGCGTCTTGTTATTGTCATTGGAGATACGCTCAACCACATCAAACCAAGCATCAGGAGCGCTTGCTATTGGTCGTCCAAAACAATCCTGCATATGGTGGATAGAGAAAAAATATCACAAAATTGGGCTTCTTAATCATACAAAAGATAAACTGGATATCAACAGCAGTATAACATTAAAAGCTTGATATTTATTTAACTTTATGCCATACCTACAACCAGGCATTACAAGATCTGAAAACCAGAATTTAGATAGCAGATGTATATAGTTAAGACAAATACATGGAAACAATGAGAAGAAGTATTTAACTATGATTTATCAGCAGCGAGAAGATGTGGAGATATACAAAACTTGGTATTATACCACCACCATTGTGCATATTCTGTTATTCTCCCTTAATGAATGGATAAGAAGCTGAGGCAGCAAACAGATCCATAGGGCCTTGTTTTAACTGAGTTTTAACAAACTGTCAGTGTCAACCAAAACATATCTGTACTGCTTTTCTGAAAACAATTCTCAAGAGCTCAAAGAACTATAATAGATCTGAAAACGTGCCTTTTTTAACTGAGTTTTAACAAACTGTCAACCAAACAATTTTTGTACCGTTTCAAAAAACTAAATCAAATAGACCCCAAATTTCTATTCTAAGAGAATTGAAAAGCAAAAAAGAGTTCAAAATTTCATTTGGTTGACAATTTTTTGAAAAATAAGTTAAAAGAAGGTATTATTTCAGAAAACTGTTTTTTGTAGCTATCTGGAAAAATGCTTTCTATTTTATCTATTTTCAGAGTACTGAACTAAACAAGCCCTTAGACTTTCCAAGTAACACTGCAATTCAATAACTTCTCCAGCCGGAATTACAAATGAAAAAGTTTCACCCATTCCTAAGCCTAAGTTTTCATTCTATGCGAACTTGACCTTGTTATACTTGACTACACGACATTTCTACAAGCACACATGCACAAATTTATACAGGAAAATGCAGTGGGTTTCAAGCTTGAATACTTCTAATCATGATTTTCTTAAAGCTAATAAAGCTTCGAAAATGTTTTTTTTTTTTTTTTTTTTCATATATTCACTGACATATTTAATCATCCAAATGCAATATCAAGGCACATCACACGAGAACATAACAGACTTAATAAAGAACCTAAAATCAAACGAAAATAATATTCCAAAATTTACAATTAGCACTGCAAAGTCCAATCACGACACAAGTGGCAAAAAAATTCAGCTAAATAATCTAAATAAACGAAATAGAAGATGACTATTAAATACTATATTTACCTGAATACGGAGATACAACCTCCGAGTATAAAAATCCTCAAGGCCTAAGCAGATCGGTGCATAACCCTTCAAAAAGACCCAAAATTAAAATCAAATCAGAAATCATAATAAGAAATGAGAAATACTTAAAAAGCACAAAACAATCGTATAATATACACACACATACGAACCTGAAGATTGCTGGCACTCCACCAATCGATAGTTTTTCTGAAAAAGTCTCGTAATTGGCCAAAAGCAAAGAGCAATCCGTAGCTGAAATAGGTTGTCAAGGCGGTCAAATATGGAATTGTAATCATTTTGATCGGTGATTGAGAGCTCTATCAACGAGAAGTGACCCTGATCGAATTGAGAGGACGAATAACAGATCTGAGACGACGATGGGAATCAATTGTGGAGGGAATTGGATTCTGGGGAAAATCAGAGATCGGAGATCAGCGATCCTAAACCCTGAGAGGAGAGAGAGAGGTAGAGAGAGAAAGAGAGGAGAGGGGGCTGAGGATTGGGTTTGACCAACCCTCTTTTTCCGGTTGGTTTTCGTTTTTGAAATTTTTTTTTTTAAATTCAAAGAATGTTCCGTGTCGGAAATTTCCTCTTTTATATAATTGGGCAGTGTCAAGTCCAGTTTAAATGTTAGCCCAAGCCCACACTTTTGTCAATTCGTGTTTGCAAGTCTGTGTTAAGAACGTGTGTATTTTGTTGTGTGGTCCAACACAAACGCGTTATGAGTGCTAATTATAGAGCATAATAATAATACAAGTATTATAGGGGTACCACGAGACACCACACGTGTGTTTTATTTAATAAATTGAACAAAATTTGACACGATACAATAAGATAAGTAGTTTTTACAAGAACACGACATAATAAAATTTGACGTATTATATATTATATATGTGTCATTTCATATTGACATAATTATGACATAAACAAAATTAAAATAAATTCAAACTTACTTATTTTCTTCTCGTGTCAAATATTGTGATCCTAACTTTTTCTTACATCCGGGCCTAAACCCCTATCGAGATTATCCATTGGGCTCCAGGTCATTTAGTTTTATAATTTATTTATTTTTGGTAAGTAAATAACAGAAATGGTAATATTTGGTAAGTAATGCAGTTATACCAAGGGCATTATAAATTAGAGCTTTTTCAATTGTTGCTACTTATTTTTAGCTCCAGCGGTTATTTTATGTCTTTTGTTTAAAAATATATTTCTCGCTAACAACCAACCACGTGTCATACCCAAGGCCCTATATAACTTTTACAAAATTACTTGGTTTATTTACTTTTTCGCGATTAAACATCACGTCCCAATCTTCTCTCAAATAAAAAGAGGTAAAAGAATGAGAGAGAAGAAAGAGAACCGCGGATGGAAAAGGGAGAGGAGAGAGAAAATATATTTATGTGGCTGTGTAAAAAGATGGTGTAAAATACATATGTTTTTACACATTGTTGATGTGACAGTGTATTTTAACAGACTGCTGAAAATGAAAAAAATTTATAAATCAATATATATTTTACCCAAAAGGAATTTTTAACAAACCGCTAGATATTCTTAATAATATTTTATATCTTTTAAAGTAGAAGGTTGATGATTCAAAAACAAAAGCATTGAAACCAATAAACTGGTACAAACTGATCTGAATCATCAGAATAAAAAATTACAGTACTATTTTGCGGTTTGATTTTGTCTTAATAGACTTGGAATCAAAATCGAAATTGTAAACCCTATATATATATATATAATATTAATAATATAACACACGTCACAAAGATAATAGCCTCATTGTGTTTCATATTAGAGCTATTGTTCGACTCCCGAGCAACTTACTGTTTGAGTACTTCATCTCTGAATTCATGTATTAGGTCATGTTTGAGCTCTTTATTTTGTCATTCTTGTACTTGCTGTTGTTAGTACTTCGGAATATTTGTTTCAGAAAAATAGGACTATAGTCCTCACCTTTTATATTACAAATATTGTTTATTCCTTGGTTGTGAAGTTTATTAATGCATGCTGTTATATAAATTTGTACACCGTATTTGCTTTGGTAAGTCAAATACATTTATACATGTGGTTGGCAATGAGTTATTGAATTTGTTCCCTCAATAATGATGGTAATTATCAAAAGAGAATAGTGGTTAAGAATCAAATTAAATTAGTCTTTCATGATTTAGTTCGGTTCAAACCTTAATAGTTTCTATTTTGATTCCAATATTTTTAGAAATTATTGAAATCAGTTCAGTTCCAATTTAGCATGAATTCGTACCAAAACCAAATCATGGCATTCTTACTTATTGGATTAATCCTTTCCCGTGTTTTTTCATCACTTTTATATAATAATTTCACATTGCTCATACATCAACTTTTTATATATATATTTTTGTTGTACTATGATGTAGTATATTGCCCTAACAATCTGTGTGCACCACATGACTGAGGCATAGAATTCCCTCCCATCAGAATTTCTCTTTTTGGTGTTAGTTTGATAAAAGTGGAAATAAAAATGTGAATAGGTGAAGATGAAGTATTGTTAAAAAGAAGATGAAGTATAGAAAATTTAGACGTTAATTATAAATTGAATTATTATTTTTAATTCTTATTTGGATTTTAAATTCTCTTGTTTAAGTGATAAATTAGTTTTCCTTTGTTTGGAAGTTGAAACTTATCTTTTATCAATTATATAATCACTCAATATATTTCAAATTAAATATTGAATTAACCTCTCTGTCTCTCTCTCACTCATGTTTTTAGTTATTTTGGTACAAGACTTTGCGACTCGCTTTTTTGGTTCTGAGTTTGTGTCTTTAGCTCGCATGGACAAGGTTGGACTTCTTTAGGAGGGTTCTTGGTACACGTGCTATCCACGTGCACAACTATCATCCTCTTCATTTCTCAATTCTTGGTTGCACACAAGAAGAACCACCTATGTAATAATTAACAATACTTAGCTAGCAATATTAGACTTAAAACATATTAGACAAATTCAAATCATCTCCATTACACTAATTTTATAACGTTTTGTTTGGGAATGCTAAATCGAAAATTTTAATTTTAATTATTTGATTTGAAATTAAAATAAATTTAATTTAAATTTTTTAAAAATAAATCAATAATCGAACTTACTCACGCCATTTCCTTGTTATTGTTATTGATCACATGCTGAGACATCTTGCATTGGTTTTGATCTAAAAAGGGATGTGAATTGTTTCTTAAACGGACCTATAAATATATGGTTCGCACTTTCGGGATTATTTTAAAAGTAATTGTTTTGCACTAATACTTGTTCAAAGAAAAATGTGATTTGATAAATCAATTCAATAGTTAATTATTAATTATGAATGAGTCAAGTACTTATTTAATTAATGTTACATCCAATGTGCAAAAATGGAATGTAATGGGAATAGTCATTTTCATTCCATTTTTTTATTAAAAAAATAAAATAATATAAGAATAAATTGATAATAACATTTTTAAGTCCTCATGATAATACAATTTGGTATCACTTTAAAAAATTAAGTGATACTTATAATTGAGTAAAATTTTAAACGAATGAGACATATTAATTGCTGAATATTAAACATTTGGCTCTGTTTGTTTCGACATAAAATATTTTTTTTGAAATTTTTTTTCTTTTTTAGATAAAATATTATATTATTTTTTCTTTTTCGATATTTGGCAAAAATATACGTCAAAGTTGAAGTCAAGGGCAGGGCATTTTTTAATTTTTTTTTTTTTTCATAAATATTTTACGACAACCAAACACCAAAAAGTAAAAAAAAAAAAAAAAATTTCTAAAAAATATTTTACATCCAAACAAACGAAGCATTAAAGAAAAACAAAAACTATCAAAGTATTGTTTGGGAATACTAAATTTTTTCAGTGCTAATTTTCAATTAATAGCTATATTGCTTCAACAATTTCAAGATTATTTATACCTTATAGAAAACTTTCTTATGGAATAAGTGTGACCTCGATTAATATGTGGTTTCCAACACATTTTCTAAAGATGTTCAAGAAAAGATATTTTCTTTACTCTCTCTCTCTCTCTCGCTCTCTCTATCTTTTTCTTAAAAATAAAAAAATAAACTTATGATAATGTTATTTGGATTTTTGTTTTCTGTACTGCTAGAATCCTTTATACCTGGTGGGCCCAAACACGAGCTTGTGTGCAATCGTCAAAAGCCGCCTAGAAAAATAGCAATCAAGTTCAATTTAGGGTCCTTCTCATGCAGGCCGTGGGCTCAGGTCTAGGTCCCACCCCTAAGGCAAATCTCACCATCAAATTAGCCCCACGGAGAAATTATTATATGTCCCCATGCCATTCGTTCTATCGTGCACTAATACGAAAGTAGGCGCAATATAACGGAAATATTCTACTTGACCATTTGACCTTATTGAATTAACATGAATTTACCTATATGACCCTAGGCTTAAACACAGAAAAAATTAAGAAAGAATTTGGTATTAGTAAGTTACATTTTTGCCCCTCATAATACATAAAACCATTCTCCCGTATACTTGCAGCTCATTCTCCCAGCCATCGCCATCTCCATAGCCATGAACTCCGTATTACTTGGTGATATTCCAGCCATAACTAAAGTGATGGTGCCTTCGTCGAGGTTTATGGTTAAAGCACGGCACCGGAGATGGAGACGCGCGCTGCCGGCAAGTTCGTGGCGGCGGCGGCGGCGACAGCAGGTTCACAATGGTGATGAGGTCGCGACGGCGATATTGAGAGAGAATGTGGCTGAGGACGCAGCGGTGGTGAAATTGAGAGAAAAGGCGGGTGAACTTGCGGCATCGCGTAGAGAGAGAAGGGGGAAATGAAAGTGGGTTAGGGTTTTTTTTTTTTTTTTTTTTTTTTTTACAAAATTACATTAATGAGGACGATGACTTCCTCTAGCATCAGCGGCGATGAGGACGCCGACCACCTCTACCACCGGTGACGATGAGGACGCCGACCACCTCTTTTTCACATCCATCCCTCACCGCATTGACGATGACATCCTCAACAAATTAGATATCATTATCACTGTCTTGCTCCTACCTTCCACGTCCACACTTCCCATCAGATCGCGTAAGAGTTTTTTCTTAGGGTTTGGTTTGTGATGGTTCTGAACCAGAACGGATTTAAGGGTTTAATTTGGGATTTTTTTATTTTTCATTTTATACATTTAATAGTATAAGGGTATCAACTCCATTTAACAATCTCACCGCTGAACAGTATTCACCAGCCATGTTAACATGCGTCTGAGAGCTCACCATGTATCTATGTAGACTATGTTCTCTTTTACCACAGTGAGCTTCAACACATCGCAGGCAGAAGGGTACTTTTGTCCGGTTGATTATGTAATTTCAGTTTGCATAGTAGACAATTTGATCTTTTCATAATAAAAAGGTTATTTTTGTCTAAAACCTTTTTGATCCCATGCTGTTTTGCCGCATCACTCTGGATTAAAGGATATCCGTTAGGTCAATCAAATAACAAGGTGGTTGACCAAAATATCTAGCCACATTCTATCTTGATACAAGAGATGGAAAATTGAGGGTAGTTTATGTA